TTATATAGTTCCATCTATAAACTTAGTCAACATAACAAAGAAATACAATTAATGTGGAACATTCATAAATGACATTAAACCATTGATTTGATAAGCATTTATTTTGCAATATCTATCTGTATATTGCATACCGCCTTGCAGGGATTAATCTAAAGTTTCTGCACCACTTTTTACAAAACTCATTAATGTAATTATTAACAGAAATATCAATCTAACGCATTGTCACATTGTATTCATATAACCTTTATGTCATATCTTTAAACCCTATCCCACCACTTTTAAATTCAAACTAGTAGGGCTGTATTCATCTTCTTTCCACAATTCTAGAATAGCTCACGCCATAAAGGGTATGACAAAGAAAACATATCTTTGATTTGTGATTTGGAAAACATTTATTATGAGCATGGACACAGAGCTGTCTTACTTATGTAATTATTATCCACACTTTCTGCCAGTATCTGGTGTCTGTGGTGCAGATTTAGACAGATGTAAAATGTTGGTTTTTTCCCTTAATGGGTGGTTAGTTTAAGGTGAAAATAATGCATGCTCAGGTGACCTCATCATTCACCGACTTCAGGTTGTAATGAGTTGTCATGCCAATGAATACATATAAAAATACTTGAAGTTATTCTTTTTAACAAAATCTCAAATTTAATCCTTAACTATTCAGTTGTTGACATGTTTTCCTGAAGACATTTTACCTCGTCTTAACTTATTTGTGTAACAGTGGTCAGTATAACACGTTTGATGACCAATATCCTGAGCAAAGTAAGTCAATCTTACAATCTGAGTCAGCCTTAGACATCGGAAGGCAACACCCCTCATTAAATTGTATTATTTTGTCAATTAAACATAACAAAATGTTAAACAGAATTTGATATATTTAAGAAGCACACCAAAAATTATATATCAAGTTCAGGTAATTTATAATTAACACAATTTTCAATGCACAGTAATAACATATTTTCTTAGCACAGTTCTTATCACATTTCTCATCACCATGTCTTAGAATTGTCAACTTCATATTTATATTTGATGCTGGGAATATGCACTTTTAAATTAACCTGTGTTGTCTTGTCAGTGTTTAAATGACATATATGATGTAGTTATCTCTTTCTTAGGTACACAATTTCATTTGACAATACGTGATTCACTGAAGAAAGTACTGCCAATGGCCTTTAACATCTCAGCATCATAAATATCTGCTGCGGTGTGGATCCTCGATGGGAAGTTTCTTGGTCTGCTAGTCTGGAATAAGTTTTGTATATTCCCCGCTATAAAACTAGGTCGGGGGCAGGTATACAGAATTGCACATGTCCGTCCCATACTATCCTGTCCTATCTTTTCCAGTCAAGATGTAATGTAAGCACCTGACATCTTCATTCCCCGACAAATTTTTGTCAAAATTTATGCAAAAGTTAATTAAGAGTATACTTTGGACATCGTTGTGTTTCAGGGGCCCAAGGTAGTGAAGGCCAAGGTCACTCATCCTATATATAGAAAATCGTCAACTGATTTAAAATAAACACTTAGCAACTTCATACTTTCATGGAATTCGATCAAACTTTATACAAAGGTCACGTATGAGTATACTATGGCCATTGTAAGTTTCAGGTTCCAAAATCACGGCTTTGGTGGTGGGGGCTATTATGACTTGCAAGCATTTTCTAGTATCATCAGAATTTAACCAAATCTAGCTATGCCTTAGATAACGAACAAATGGATATTGATATGATATCATATGATGGGATCTCTTGTCCAAATATGACCCCATTAATTGAGATGCAATTCACAGAGTAATAATCATGAACATGTATTGCTAAGGAACTGCATTGCTGTTATGATTTCTCCTGTAAATTACAGTACACTACAATTCAATCAATCTTGTTTAAAAGTTAAATATTAGTATGTTCATATCCAGATTGTATCTTTTTCAGGACCCTCACACATTTGCCATCAGAAGGTAGCAGCCACTTCATATTTTCAAGTTTGGCCAGTGCTTAATTTATCCTTCCATGGTTGAAATGGTGAATGCAGCAGTCGTTGCAGAGAAAGGATCCATGGTACAAGAGCAGTGTAAGTTTTTAAGTTAACACTCATTGAGAAACATTGTATGTCTTGATAAGCAAGTTAATTGTCTATTACCGTCATTGCCTCCAGAAAACCAGCTGCTTTTCCATGGGATACATATCTTATAAGTGTATCAAAGTTCTTCCTCTGTAATGGGTTTGTACTTGTCAATAGCGGTACAATTGGCATGACACCTCATATTAAATTTGGGGTCAAATATCAAGCCTCCTGCAGACTATCAGTCAGAGATCAGCATTTAAGTCAACTTGCAAATTTTCTTAACTAAAAATCAGTCAAAATATGAGAACACAAAAATGTATATGCCCTAATCGGATAAATAAGTAGCGACGTGTTTAAAGTGTGTGCTTCGGTTTGATTGAAACATTCATTTTCAATTGATTTATTATTTGAGAGTGCCCCCTTGCAGTCAGCCATGGAAATTGATGGAAGTTGTTGCTTTTTATTACAATTTATTATTTATTCCTATTTAATCATTTGTGAATATAAATGAACAAATGTTGATAACTTTTGAAAAATATGTTTATAACAAAATTCATAGCTGTATTCACACCATAATTGAGTCCATTGTATTGAAAAGATATGAATAACATATCTGTATCATATGAAGACTGTTTCTGGCTTTTCTGTGTTAATTGGACTTGACTGCACTTAAGACAATTTGTAAAGTTACAGTATCCTCTCTGTTTGAAATACAAATTCCAACAGGGTATCCATTGTGATATCCATCAACTACTAAGGTGATAAGTTTGAATCTAAAGTAATTTGTTTTGTGTGTTGAGACCATGCAATAGTATTCTGTTGGCAAACTTACAATGCATTTCAGCTTGGGCATTATTTGTAAGGGCTAACATGAAGGTTTCATCCACAGGAACAGAATCACCATTACCATCTTGCTGTTTATAAATAAGTACATGATTTATTGATGGGTCACTTTCAAATTCCCTGACCAAGAATAGAGTTGATGATCCATCGTCACTATGCTTTTGATACTCAGAGTCCACAAGTTTCCTTTTCATAGCCACAATGCTTTGCCGATTAACAAATTTATAGTACTTTGTATTACTTGAATCTCTACTGTATAAATTACCAATATTTTTATATCATCCAAAATAGAATCAACTGGAATTCCTTATGAGAGTATTTCGGCAATATTTTGTTGAATTGGAAGATATTTGGTCTAATCAAAGTCAACAGAATGACTATGTGTATGTATATACTGAACTTTAACATTGTCACTCGCTTTATCAACAACTGAAAGCATACGCGATGAACACAATGCATTAATCTTACAAGAACCTTTAAAATTACATCAACGTACTTTATTATCATGTTTCATAGCTGTACATTTATGACCATCCCTATTGCAAACAAATCGAAAAGTTATGCTGAATCGACTACTTATTTCTTTTCTTTCCTTCCTGAAAAAAACATTGTTTACTAATTTCTCCTCTGCTTTCCATGATTTGAATTCACCCAAGTTTAAAAATGATAGGAGCAACCTAACTTCAAGGAAGGCGACGTCGTCTTGCTGCAAGACAAAGGTCTGTGTCGGAATCAGTGGCCATTAGGTGTGATCTCGCGCGTCTTCCCAAGTGATGATGACTTAGTCAGAAAAGTGGAAGTGCTTATCAGTAAAGACGGAAAACTTACAAACTTTATCCGTCCAGTGGTTGATCTACTCAAACTTGTAGATGTGAAATAACTTTGTTCCTCAATTTCTGTGTTTCATTAGTTTAGTGTTAGGTCTGGATATTTAAGATAAAAGTGACAGTGTAACTCAGTTTCTACTGTGATATTTAGAATATCAGGCGCGAAGTGTGTTGTCACGGATCGCGCAGCCTTAATGTAAGGAATGTTGATTAGAGTTACTCCCCTTAGTTTGCTCTTCAGTAATAACAAACGTTGCTACCACGTCGTGTTATGAAACACATTTTCGATGCATCGAATGCATATTTTCCTTTCAATATGGTTTGTGGTTCCATACACTGTAAGTTTTGTGATTTAATCAGTTAATCGTTATGCCTATTTACTAAGTAAATCATGTTTTCGGTGTTTTGTACATCTCTATCGACAAAAAAGCGCGTTTTGTGTCAATCATACCGAGCTGATGAATTTCATTGTTTTGTTTATAGTTTCACTTTATTCGTCGGTAATAAACGAGATTTGTCGCTGAACAACAAACATGTTGGAATATTTACTTTGCACTAAATAATTTTGAAATTTCAATATGGTTTTGTAACCGTAGCAAGAATTTATGAAGCATAATTATCATTAAATTATGACATTAATAACATATTGGCTTTGTTCAAGCAATGACTATCATGAATAATTGTTTTTATGTTATTCGAGTTGAAAATGTAAACTAGATAGTGATAGTTATTGTATTCTGCAGCCAAAACCAGTGAAGATAAAATATAAAAACTAAAGTGGCTGCTGAATACTTGTACAGTTAGTCACTCGTATCCTAAGTGGTCTTGCGGCGACAGCTCCCAATAACACAAATACCAGCTTCCATGCTCGCTTTAACTCTGTTTTCTCACACTGCGCATGCGCTACTTCCGGCAATACTCAAACCCCTTGCACACTAGAGGCGAATACTTACCCCGGTAAATCCTACCCACGCGGATACCTTCACTACACTCCTCCCAACTTTATGATGAAGGCGTTGATCCCCGGTAGGATGCTTCACCTGCAGGTACGTCGGAGGTTGACTATGTCCCTGCATGCTGATGTGGGCCAAAAGCCACTGTGATATTCAACAAATTTTGGGAGAATGTCTTACCTTAATGTGTCTTGGGCAAGAAGCCTCAGTGGCGCATTCATCAGAGTATAGCAAGAAGCCATGTGCCCCGATGTCTTTCCTTTCATCCTGGACCAAGCATCATGTCCAAGGTACATCAGACGACTGCTCACTGTTGATTGAACGGTCTCCTGGCATTCTCGGCTGATGCCTGCAGAAGTACATAGACCTGGATCTGCCGAATTGGAGCGATTATCTCCGCAACCGAATAAAGCTGATTCGGAGCAGAATACCTATGACCTGCTCCCACAAAATATGGGGCTTCTGTCTCCAAGACGATCCTGTCTGCCGCAACTGCCTTCACGGCACGAATCTGTGGGCCGGAGAAAGACTGGACCATGCAGGTAAATCCCAGGTACAGGTCGGGAAACGCTGCAAACCACTGGCTGAGAACATACTCGTCTCCAGAAAAGCAATGAAAGTATATCCTCTGATCAGCAGGTACATTCTTCCTCACAAGGTGCAACAGCAACATGTAGGTTTCTGTCCCGGTATCACCTGGCATTCCTCTACAGTGTAGCACCAAGGTGTGTCGTACCCGCAAAAGCGTCAGCACTCTCTCCAGTAGGTCCATCTGTTCTGGCCAGCGCCTTCGTGGCTCTATGTGGTCCAACCCCATCTCAACTATTGCAGTGACTCTTCCTAGCCAAGAAAGCTCCTTTAATTTCCGGAAAGAGTCATCTTCGTCTTTCTGGTGACGGATATGGTGTTTGGGGTGGAGGCCTACTGCAACTACCATATCCTCGGGAAGGTCAAGAAGACTCCGCCCGGCCGGATAGGTATAGGGATCACAGAAGGACACACACGACCCAACCAGATCAACTTCCTTCCCACTCTCCACAGCTGGTCCCGCCAAAACATCCTCAAATGATGCTCCTTGGGGCAGTCCTATAGCCTTGACGTTGCGATCGAGGTGGAAGTGTGCATCAAATGCTACAAGTAATTCCACCACCTTCAACATGCCTGGGGGAGCAGGGTCATTAAAAATATTAAATATTTAATCATAACTAGATATACGTTTACTAATTCTCCCTGGTAGACAGAGATAACCTCTGTTTTGTGACTTATACCTAAAAAGTACTATTAATATGTCTATGCTTGTACGGTTGCAAACATGAGCTTCTCACATTCTATTGTTACTGTTTTTAAATATATATAATTTATATATGTGTATGGTTATGCTATTCATATAGCGCATGAATATAAGTGCAAAGAATATTTTACACAAAATACTTAATGAAATCAGTAACATCATGTAGCTATTGCCATCTTCTACCCATGTATAATCTTATGTGTTGTTGTCTTTGTGAGACTTATTTGTTCTTACCATTTTGAAAGTAATAGATCAAAATGTGACTTAAACAACCCCTGCTATATACTGTACATTATATCATGAGCTGAAAATATACTTCAACTGTAAATAGTGATACTATGTTTTTTCATAGATATATGGTCGACGACGGTCAAGTAGTAAATACGATAACGATAAAAAAATGTTTTGTTTTATCTTGTTTCATTTTGTTTTCTTTCTCTCTTTTTTTTTTTTTTTTTAGATAAAAGAAGTATAGTGTCATCCATAATTGATTATCTCATTTTCCGTTATAGCCCCTATCAATAAAAAATTTTTTTTTTTTTTTTTTTTTTTTTCGCAGAGTGCTATTATCTACGGTTTCAATTACCTCGAGTGAACATTTGTACATTTTTTTTAACTCAATATAGTAACTACTGATGAATCAATAAATGCATGTCAGTAACGATTGACAAGATGACATTGAAAGATTAATTGTGTTCATCTCATTTTATTCCTTCTTCCATTCGTACCCTACATTGTTGAATTAATTCTGCATTTAGTATCTAAAAATAGAGCTCTTGTGCTATCGGTCTCTTAGATGTCTATATAAACTTCTCACTTGTTAGTTTGCTTTCAATATCACTGGGACGGATTCTTATGTCGATATATCTATTGACTTGAAAAAATCTATGATGTCTTATGCCAAACATACATCATTGAATGATAAAGCAATGCTCATTGTCTTTATATGTATATATGCCGTTTTGTTACACTTGTTTAAAATGTATTTATTGGCACAACATGCCGGTTTTCATAATAATAACAGTTACACATGTAATCATTGCTTACGATATTTTAATCCATTTCTTTTCCAATTGTACTTTATCATGAATTCCTTTGTCCATTCACATCACTCTCCTTACCATTATCCATCACATTCCATGTATATCCTTTTTGACAATGGCTAAATTAGTGATTCATCCTGGTATGGAGGGAGTTGTGAATGGTAAACTATTTTGTATTGGTGTCTCTGATGGTTCAATGAGCTCGCCTTCCATCATTTTGCACTTTCATTTACTACCTCTCTACATATTACTAGCCTGTGGCGATATTCATCCGAACCCTGGACCCTATCCACAAGACAATATCAATCTTCATAATTTATCTATCTGTCATATCAATATATGTTCTTTAAGAAACAAGACCCACATTCTTGATGCTGAATTTTCTGAATACGATATCCTATGTGTAACTGAAACTCATCTTAATAATTCCATTTCTGCAAGCAACATATCTCTTGAAAACTTTGGCAATATTTTCAGAAAGGATAGGACTGATAATAATGGTGGCGGAATACTTATATATACCAAAAATAACGTTAGCATAAAGCGTAGAAATGATTTAGAATCAGATGATCTTGAACTAATATGGACTGAAGTAACAACTAACAATAAACCTATTCTTCTTGGTTGTATATACAGACCCCCTAATTCTCTCGTAGGTTTTTGGGATAGACTAGACAATAATCTTGACAGTATTGTGGATCTACAGAAAGAAGTTGTCCTGGTAGGTGATATTAATGTTAACATGTTAAATCTTAATCCAAACTCTCATTTTCACCGCCTTTTATCAAAATATGGTCTTAAAAATACTATTTTTGAACCTACCAGGATAACTTCTCAGTCTTCAACATCACTTGATATCATACTAACTAATAACGTAAATTTTGTAACTAATAGCAAAGTTCATCCTCCTTCTTGTAGTGACCACTGTCCTGTCAGTGCTGACCTCAACTTCAAGACTCTAAAGAAACGTGCCTATAAGAAGACATTGCTTTATTTTAATAATACTGACTATGACGGGGCTAATGCCTATCTTAATTCGGTCGACTGGGACTCTGAACTACATGGAAATATTGAAGATATGAATTTTGTTATTTCTGATAAAATCTTGACTGCTTTAGATAAATTTGTTCCTCACAAAATTGTAACTATTAGGCCTAACGATAAAATTTGGATGACTAATGACATAAGACTAAAAATAAGACAAAGAAATCGTCAGCATTCTAAAGCCAAAACTGCAAATACCCCAGCCTCGTGGACAAAGTTTAGAAGTATTCGGAATGAAGTAATTGCATTAATACGCGAGGCAAAAGAAAACTATCTTTCAAAATTACAATCATCTTTAATAGACAAATCCATACCCCCGGGAAAATGGTGGCGTGTTGCAAAATCTGTAATGAACTTTAAAAACAAATGTGAAACTGACTCCCCTTTGGTTATCAATGGTATACTAAAAATGCACCCCACCGATAAAGCAGAATCTTTTAATAATTATTTTGTATCAATATCAGAAACTGAAAAGACTGCTGACGATTTACCTACCGACTTTAACCGACCTGAGCATAGCTTCTCGACCTTTGACATAACAGAACAAGACATAATTGACCAACTTCACACACTCAATACTAACAAACCTCAAGGTCCTGACTCCATTCCTCCCACATTTATTAAAGGTGTATCTCAAGCTTTAATTAGACCTTTATTTCTTATCTTTAACAAGTCCATCTCCACTGGTACCCTTCCTTCTGTATGGAAAAATGCTCATGTAACACCCGTGCACAAGTGCAAGGGTTCAAAAAGTAATCCATCCAATTATAGACCAATCTCTGTTACTCCTATTTTTAGTAAACTTCTTGAAAAAATTGTTTTTAAATATATGTTTAATTATCTTTCAAAATATAAAATTATTTCTAAGAATCAATCAGGATTTCTCCCTAAAGATTCAACTGTCTATCAATTATTAACAATATACGATGCTATTGTAAAGCATTTGGATAAAGGTAAAGAAGCCAGAATGATATTTTGCGATATAAGCAAAGCTTTTGACAGGGTTTGGCATGATGGCTTATTATTCAAATTAAAACAATATGGGTTTTGTGGTAATATATTGAACTGGTTCTCTTCGTACTTAATGGATAGGAGACAGAGAGTGGTCTTAAATGGATTCAAATCTAACTGGAAATCGTTAAAGGCGGGGGTACCTCAGGGGTCAGTTTTAGGGCCATATTTGTTTTTGTTATATATAAATGATATAGGAGATAATTTATCATCTAATGTTAAGCTTTTTGCTGATGACACATCCTTATATACACTGATAGAGGGTAACAGACAGGAGGCTGCTGACATACTCAATGAAGATCTACGCAAAATTTCCACTTGGGCTAAAAAATGGGGTATATTATTCAATCCGGATAAAACAGTTTCTCTTCTTTTTTCAAGAAGGGCTGACTCTGAGACGTTGCATCCTGATCTTATTTTTAACAATGAAGTAATCAATAATGTCACTAATCATAAACATCTTGGTCTTGTATTCAATGGCAATGCCAACTGGTCATCTCATATAGACTTTATCTATGAAAAGGCTTGTTCAAGACTTAATATTCTTAGAATGTTAAAATTTAAGATTGATAGAAAATCCCTTGAGAAAATTTACATCTCATTTATTCGTCCAATCCTCGAATATGCCGATATCGTATGGGCCAACTGTTCCCAGAGAGAGTGTGACGTCTTAGAGTCAGTCCAACTTGAAGCATTGCGAATTATATCTGGACTAAGGCGAGGCACTAGCCATGACACTCTATATAAAGAGACTGGCTTTGTTAAACTTAGGATGAGAAGACACTTACATCAAAATATTGTATTTTTTTAAATTTTTAACAGCATATGTCCATCTCATGTATCTGACTTGCTACTTCCCTTTTTTAACAATGTTGTCAATTACAACTTTAGACATAACAGGTTATTTGATTGTCCTTTACCAAGAACGAATCTATATAGTTCTAGCTTTTTTCCAAGACTTATGTCAGAATGGAATGAGCCAGCCTGTCTGTTACCCACAATGACATCACTTGCAGCATTAAAAAGGGAATGTTTAAACTCATCAGATACGGATGCCTATCCATTATGTTCTAATGTTTTTAAATATCAAGGTGATAGGAAATTTAACATAATATTATGTCAGTTAAGAAATTTTGCAAGTAATCTGAACTCTGATTTATTCAATTCATACCTTAGTGATAGCCCTGCTTGTACATGTGGTGCTCCATTAGAAGATCGTGAACATTTTTTCTTGCACTGTCCTCTATTTTCTAATCAAAGACTAACTTTACTCAACTCTTTGTCAGCAATAAACGTTTCCATTCCACTCAATATTCAAACGTTAATTTATGGTTTTCAGCCTCAAGTTATAAACATGAATATTTATATTATGGAGGCGGTTCAGAAATACATCAGAGACACCAAAAGATTTTTCTGAACTCTAAATTAGCTTAGTATTACATTAATTCTGATCATTAGAATGTTTCTTGTCCATTGAAGTTCACTCAATAGTACAAATAATCTTCTATCTAAGTTATGTAATAATACAAGAAGATTATGTTCAAGCTATATTCATATGTAATGTGCATGTAATTACTGTTATATTTTTTAAGGAGAGGGCTAATATAGGCTTTGCCTGTTGCCCAATTCCTTTTGTACATACGATCCGTACAATAAAATATTCTGAAATGAAAAAACCCCGGAATCAACTGAATGGCGCTTAGAAAGCGATACCACTCTCTGTCCTGTCTTCGTTTGATGAGGAGGTTGGGTCTCCTTACTCCTGGGAACGCGACAAGAAGTCACCTTCCCCTTTAGTGTAAGACCCTTTCTGGATTATCTCTTGAGGTCCTCGGCCTTTCCTGGTTACTAGAGTGTTCAACTTTGGTTTTAAAGGATACCCGACGAAAAGGCAAGTCCTCCCTTTCCCCAATACCATGGCCACTCTCTGGCAAGGCAAACTCCTCTTCTGAACCCAAAAGTCGACCAGTCTTCTCGCATGACCCCTTCTGTGGTGATTCCAATATAGAGGAGTCTGGAGTATCCACTTCCATACTAGAAGCTATGCTCAGGGCAACCTTATCAGATCTGGCAGGGCAAGAAGCCGCAGTGCCTAGATCCTCTGTTCTTCTCTCCAAGGTTTTGTCCGTGGCTAATCTTACATCTTTAATCATCGTGCCATGGGATACGGGTTCATAGCTTGCCCTTGCGACGTGATGAATGATTGGATTTCGCAGTGGTAACGCACTCGCTTTTCACCTAGCCGACCGGGGTTCGATTCCCGGAACGGACGTGAAAAGGTAAGGGTTCACCTGCCCGACCACGTGGGATTTCCCTGGGTACTCCGGTTTCCTCCCACAATAAGACGCCTCGCGAGCTTACATCCGGGCCAACAAGAGTGATTAGTATATTTTGACATAGCTTGTTTCGCAATTGTGAAATTAATAAAGTTTATATTTTATGATGAAACTCGCTGTCCATCCAATTTGCATCAAGAAGTTCAAATTCGTGCAGACACGTAGCTACACAGACCAGCCAATTCTGGGTAGCCCAGCTCTTATCTCCTTTTCGGAGGATGTCCTTTGCTACGGTGATCATCCGGCGCACCACCGACTTGAGCTCCTTAGGATCGTTTAGGTGTGTCCCGCTCTGGGTAACGAAGGCCTTGGCTGGCTCATATAAGCAGTGTCGGGATTCCAAGTCCTCCACTCGTTTCAGTAACCTCCGCTTCCCTTCCATTCCTGTCAAAGAACCAGAAAGGGTTTTGAGTTCTAGTGGCTAGTACCGCCACACCGTATACACTTATACATATCGATGTTCAATGCATCGGTGGCAGAAATGTTTACACAGGAACCATGGTACCACTCATCACAATAGTCACATTGGGTCATGAAGCGGCCATTGCATGGCTTCTGGCACACGCAATATTCAGTTTTAGCGTCATGGTATCCTGCACTTTCGTCAGCTGTGGATCTATTTTTGTAAACTGTGATCCAAGCTGGTATTTCCCTATCTCTGCAGTGCATCATCCTGTATGGTTGGTGACAAATACTGAATTCCGAAGCTTGACACGATACAGATATGCAGACAACTTGTTGACAATAATACCCAGGCCTTTTCAAGGAGAATGTAGTTTCTTACATTTCCCCCTGACCACTGCAGTTTCCATTAGATACACTACATCACCTTCCGCGTATTGTCTCTGCAAAATCTTCAGTCATAATACCTCTTCCTTTGTTTAAGTGTAGTCTTGAGCTTCTCTTTGGCCACCTGATGGGCCTTTTTGATATTCTCCTGTAGTGTCACCACATACTCTTCCGTCATCTCGGAACTCACTGATGGGTTAGGGAACATTAACTGAGCCGGTGTGGTTGCTTCTCTTCCCAACTTTAACATATTTTGGGTAAACCCAGATTTACTGATGCTCGGAGAGCCCCAGCAATCTGCTGTAGATGCTCGTCCTAACTGTTTCGAGACATGCTTAGAAAACACCGCACCGCATCCATCAGTGTCCGATTAAACCTTTCTACCTGCCTATTGGACGAGGGTCGATAAGGTGTTGTCCGAGATTTATGTATTTGAAGAGCCTGACAGAGAGCTTCAAACAACTTGCTCTCAAAGTTGCGCCAATGGTCCGAGAAAAGATGAAGAGGACATCCGAACTTTGAGAAAAAAATCATTGACCACAGCCCTTGCAGTCACTTCTGCCTTCTGGGATGGGAGAGGAACACATTCTACCCACTTGGTAAACTGATCTACAATCATCAGACAGTGTTAATTTCCACTTGGCGTCTTGGGTAGTGGACCCAAAAATCCAACATTGACCCGCTCCATAGGAACTCCTGCATGATACTCGGTCATCGCCACCTTGCCGTAACACTTGTTCTTCTTATTCTTGTTGTACAAGTCGCAAGACAAAGCATAGGATTCAATATCTCGTGAAAGACCAGCCGAAAAGAACTTTTCCTTCACTTTAGCCTTTGCCCTGGCCACACCTTAATGGGCTGCAGATGGAATGTCATGATGCAGTTGAATTGCTTTTTCCTGTAAACCAGCTGGTACCACCAAGTTCAAATCACTAGTTTCCAGTTTCTTCTTGAACTGAACTCCATCTATCAGTACAAACAGTTCTTTGTTCACCCAATAATACTTGGTTTCTGGGAAGGCCATGAATAATTTATTCTCCTGTGGCTCAGTATCAAGTATCATTCTTCAAGAACGCCAAAATTAATTTAGATGTCTGATCCTTTCTTTGTTCCTCTTCCAGTTCCTTTAAACTGAATCCCCAGCAAGACGGTATGTTGGTTGTGCTGGAGCCTAGCTCTTCCAAGCAGGTAGTACTTAAACTGCCTTGTGAAGCGCACTATACTTAACAGTTCCTTTCTGGCTGTACAATATTTCTTTTGTTCAGGCGTCAAAGAGAAACTGCTGTAGGCTATGACTTTCTCCATGCCGTCTTGCACTTGGCTCAGCACTCCCCCAAAAGCCAAATCTTCAACTGAGGGAAGACAAAATGTGTTCTTGACAGTAACATCATTCAATGCTCGATAGTCGACACACCATCTAACTAAACCATCCCTTTTCCTTATCAGTACTGGGGCTGATGTCCATTCTGATACTGAATCATCCCTGTCTCCACTATTTTCTTTAAATGAGCCTCTTCTTTACCCATTTATCTATTGTGTGTTGTAATGCCGTAACATTGCCCAAGTCAAACTCGTCTTTAGCAAACACATCCTGATACTGACAAAGGAGAGCCTATAACTGTTCAGTTTGCTCACCGTTGAGCTGTTGTGACGACTCCTCCAACAATGCCTTTAGATCAGTTGGTATTTCTGTTAAAGTAGGCTCTGTTGTTTGGTCAGCTACCTCACATTATATCTCGAAATTGTCACTGGTATCCACATGCTCAAGATTCAGATGCAGGCAGACCTATTGTTTTGGAAAATTATTGCGAAGAAATTTAAGTCAAAACAGAGTTCAAAATTAAATTCCAGAAACGAATGGGTATGCGGTAATACGTAGCTGCATCTGAAGTCCACATTGGACTTCCGATATTAATTATAATAATAATAATAATAGAGTTTATTTAAAGAGGATAGTACATGTTTAGCCAAAGGCTAATCTACCACATGGTCCTCAAGTTAGTAAAATATTACATTCGTTAGTAAAACATGATATCACAACCAGATACTAAAATACATAAAAAAATTATTACACTAACAATACGCTTGTAAAGATAGTACAAAACTATCATTAGACTTGTAGAAACAGTACAACACTAACAATATTTCTTGTAGAGCCAATACAACACTAACATTAGGTTTGTTAAGACAGTACAACACTAACATTAGATTAGCACAAACAGTTCAACACTAACATTAGACTTGTACAGACAGTACAACACTAACATTAAGCTTGCACAAACAGTTCAACACTAAAATTAGGCTTGTACAGACAGTACATTAAGCTTATACAGACAGTTCAACACTAACATTAGGCTTGTACAGACAGTACATTAAGCTTGAACAGACAGTACTACACTAACAATACGCTTGTACAGACAGTACATTAAGCTTGAACAGACAGTACTACACTAACAATACGCTTGTACAGACAGTACAACACTAACATTAAGCTTGTACAGACAGTACATTAGGCTTGTGCAGACGGTACAACACTAACAATACGCTTGTACAGACAGTAGAACACTAACAATAGTCTTGTATAGACAGTACAACACTAACATTAGGCTTGTACAGACAGTACAACACTAACATTAGACTTGTACAGACAGTACAACACTATCATTAGACTTGTACAGACAGTACAACACTAACATTAGGTTTGTTAAGACAGTACAACACAAACATTCCATTTGTGCAGATAGAACAACACTAACATTAGACTTGTACAGACAGTACATTAGGCTTGTAAAGACAGTACTACACTAACAATACGCTTGTAAAGATATCACAACAGTAACGTTAGACTTGTACAGACAGTACAACACTATCATTAGGCTTGTACAGACAGCACAACACTAACATTAGGCTTGTTGAGACAGTACAACACTAACATTACATTTGTGCAGATAGTACAACACTAACATTAGACTTGTACAGACAGTACAACACTAACATTAGGCTTGTACAGACAGTACATTAGGCTTGTACAGAGAGTACAACACTATCATTAGACTTGTACAGAGAGCACAACACTAACAATAGGCTTGTAAAGATAGTTCAACACTAACATTAGGCTTGTACAGACAGTACAACACTAACAATAGGCTTGCACAAACAGTGCAACACTAACATTAGACTTGTACAGACAGTACATTAGGCTTGTACAACACTACAAATAGACTTGTACACACAGAACAACACTAACATTAGGCTTGTACAGACAGTTAAACGCTATCATTATGTTTGTACAGACAGTACATTTGGCTTGTACAGACAGTTAAACACTATCATTATGTTTGTACACACAGAACAACACTAACATTAAACTTGTACAGACATTACGACGCCGACATTAGACTTGTACAGACAGTGCATTAGTCTTGTATAGACAGTACTACACTAACAATAGCCTTGTAAAGATAGTACAGTACTAACATTAGTCCTATACAGGCAGTACAACACTAACATTAGACTTGTACAGACAGTACATTAGGCTAGTACAGACAGTACAAAAATAGCATTAGTCTTCTACAGACAGTACATTATTCTTGTGCAGACAGTACAACACTACCATTACGCTTGTACAAACAGTACAGCACTATCACTAGACTTGTACAGACAGTACAACACTAACAATAGGCTTGTACAGACAGTACAACACTACAATTAGGCTTGTTGAGAGACTACAACACTAACATTACATTTGTGCAGATAGTACAACACTAACATTAGTCTTGTACATACAGTACAACACTAACCATAGGCTTATACAGATAGTACAACACTAACATTAGGCTTGTACAGACAGTACAACACTAACAATAGGCTTGTACAGACAGTACAACACTACAATTAGGCTTGTTGAGAGACTACAACACTAACATTACATTTGTGCAGATAGTACAACACTAACATTAGTCTTGTACATACAGTACAACACTAACCATAGGCTTATACAGATAGTACAACACTAACATTAGGCTTGTACAGACAGTACAACACTAACATTAGGCTTGTACATACAGTATAACACTAACATTGGACTTGTACAGACATTAAAACGCTAAAATTAGACTTGTACAGACAGTACAACACTACCATTAGTCTTGTACAGACAGTACAATAGGCTTGTATAAACAGTACAACACTAACATTAGGCCTATACAGACAGTACAACACTAACATTAGACTTGTACAGACAGTACAACACTAACATTAGGCTTGTACAGACAGTATAACACTAACATTAGTCTTGTACAGACAGTACATTAGGCTTGTATAGACAGTACAACACTAACATTAGACCTGTACATACAGCACAATACTACCATAAGGCTTGTACAGACAGTACAATAATGGCATTAGGGTTGTTAAGACAGTACAACACTAACATTACATTTGTGCAGATAGTACAACACTAACATTGGACTTGGACAGACAGTACAACACTAACATTATAATTGTACAGACTGTACAACACTAACATTACATTTGTGCAGACAGTACAACACTAATTACGTACAATATTAGTTTTTAGAAAGAATAGCAATAACATTGTGTTTATATAGATCGTAAAATACTAAAGCACAGGGAACATATTGACATTGCAAAAATAGCGATTTGGTATAGTAAACCACTTTCTAGGCAGTATAACATTAAATCATACATAGAGTGCAAAATACTAGCACCGGGCATATAAATATAAATATAAATACTTGCAGACAGTAGAACATTAGACTTGTACAAAAAGTACATTAGCCTTGTACAGATAGTACAACACTAACGTTAGGCTTGTACAGACAGTACAACACTAACATTAGGCTTGTACAGACAGTACATTAGGCTTGTACAACGCTACAAATAGACTTGTAAAGACAGTACAACACTAACATTAGACTTGTACAGACAGTACAACACTAACATTACGCTTGTACAGACATTACAACACTAACATTAGACTTGTACAGACATTACAACACTAATATAGGATTGTGCAGACAGTACAGCACTTACATTAGGCTTGTACAGACAGTACAACACTAACATTAGGCTTTTACAGACAGTACATTACTCTTGTACAGACGGTACAACACTAACATTAGGCTTGTACAGACAGTACAACACTATCATTAGACT